CTATTACTTAAGCTGCTGTGGAGGAGGCTGTCGAACCAGCTGAGTGGTTCAGATAAAACTAAAACCTGTGTCAGAAGGCTTGCTTGGTTTAGTATTAAGGACAAAATGAAATTCCCGTCCAGTCATTGATGCTTAACCGCTGTTTATTATGTTCATGTTTGAAAGCACAGACTTATTTTCTGCTTTACTGTCTTATAACTTACCAGCTCATTTTAGTGTTCCTATTTATGGAACATACAGAAGTACACACACTGATGTACACAAAGGTGTAGTACATCAGTGTGTACATCAGATGTACACACGCTGTACACACACTATATACAGGTGCTGGTCATAAAATTAGAATATCATGAAAAAGTAGATTGATTTCAGTAATTCCATTTAAAAAGTGAAACTTGTATATTATATTCATACATTACATACAAACTCATATATTTCAGATGTTTATTTTGTTTAATTTTAATGATTACAAATGACAACAAATGAAAATCTCAAATTCATCATATCAGAAAATTAGAATATTACTGAAGACCAATAAAAACAAAGGATTTATAGAAATGTTGGCCAACTGAAAAGTATGAACATGAAAAGTATGAGCATGTACAGCACTCAGTATTTAGTTGGGCCTCCTTTGGCCTGTATTACTGCAGCAATGCGGCGTGGCATGGAGTCGATCAGTCTGTGGCACTGCTCAGGTGTTATGATAGCCCAGGTTGCTCTAATAGTGGCTTTTAGCTCTTCTGAATTGTTGGGTCTGGTGTATTGCATCTTCTTCTTCACAATACCCCATAGATTTTCTATGGGGTTAAGGTCAGGAGAGTTTGCTGGCCAATTAAGAACAGGGATACCATGGTCCTTCAACCAGGTACTGGTAGCTTTGGCACTGTGTGCAGGTGCCAAGTCCTGTTGGAAAATGAAATCTGCATCTCCAAAAAGTTGGTCAGCTGCAGGAAGCATGAAGTGCTCTAAAACTTCCTGGTATGTGGCTGCGTTGACCCTGGACCTCAGAAAACACAATGGACCAACACCAGCAGATGACATGGCACCCCAAACCATCACTGACTGTGGAAACTTTACACTGGACTTCAAGCAACGTGGATGAAGTGCCTCTCTTCTTTTCCTCCAGACTCTGGGACCTTGATTTCCAAAGGAAATGCAAAATTTACTTTCATCAGAGAACATGACTTTGGACCACTCACCAGCAGTCCAGTCCTGTTTCTCTTTAGCCCAGGCAAGGCGCTTCTGACGCTGTCTGTGGTTCAAGAGTGGCTTGACACAAGGAATGCGACAGCAGAAACCCATGTCTTTCATACGTCTGCGTGTGGTGGTTCTTGAAGCACTCACTCCAGCTGCAGTCCACTCTTTGTGAATCTCCCCCACATTTTTGAAGGGGTTTTGTTTCACAATCCTCTCCAGGGTGCGGTTATCTCTCTTGCTTGTACACTTTTTTCGACCACATCTTTTCCTTCCCTTCGCCTCTCTATTAATGTGCTTGGACACTGAGCTCTGTGAACAGCCAGCCTCTTTAGCGATGACCTTTTGTGTCTTGCCCTCCTTGTGCAAGGTGTCGATGGTCGTCTTTTGGACAACTGTCAAGTCAGCAGTCTTCCCCATGATTGTGTAGCCTATAGAACTAGACTGAAAGACCATTTAAAGGCTTTTGCAGGTGGTTTGAGTTAATTAGCTGATTAGAGTGTGGCACCAGGGGCCATCAATTTTGAACCTTTTCACAATATTCTAATTTTCTGATATGATGAATTTGAGATTTTCATTTGTTGTCATTTGTAATCATCAAAATTAAACAAAATAAACATCTGAAATATATGAGTTTGTATGTAATGTATGAATATAATATACAAGTTTCACTTTTTAAATGGAATTACTGAAATCAATCTACTTTTTCATGATATTCTAATTTTATGACCAGCACCTGTATATGTATATATCAGAGATGGGCAATGTGGAGTCAACAAGTCATCTCCATGTCATGTATTTAATCTACCCAGCCAATTAACCAGGTGAGTCCAATCTGCACAGGTTAATTCACGGTGAAGATTGGACTCACCTGCTTCAGTGGCTGGGTAGAACAAATACATGACATGGAGATGACTTGTTGACTCCACATTGCCCATGTCTGGTATATATGTATATATATACTTAAATTAATAGTATGTTCATGTCACTGAATTGCACAATTAGTGTTTTAAAATGTTTTCCTTGTGCTAAATCCAATTTTCAGCAGCTTAAAAGTGTAACATCCATTTATTTAAACAATGGCTGTCTAGCTATCATACTGTGGCAGAGTAGATAAAATCTCATAACAAGGTTATGGTGCAAATTGTACATATCAAGTACCAGTAGAATTTAATCACAATGCAGAAAAACAAGTCCTTTACCAACATGGTAGAGTACATAGTAAGCCTCTTCCCCTCTAGAGCCACTCAGAGGTATAGAAGCCATTACTCCAAAAGTATCATTTAAAAAAAGAGAGATAACTTTTCAAATACCCTTTGAGCCAGAGGTTTTAATGTGGTCTGATTGTCTTTGGTCATAATGATCATTGTTACATTTGCAGGAAAAAGGGGAGGTTTGCCAACCCAACAAAACCATCCTACCCCAGATTTGCAGTATGGCAGTGGCAGCATGATGTTGTGTGAGTGTTAAGCTGTAGGAGGGACTGGTGCACTTAACAAAATATCCTCATAAAGACAAAACTGTTTGAAAATATAAAAGAAAATCTCAGTACATTAACCAGAAAGACAAAGCCTGAGTAAAAATGAAACTAGTCTAAACCTGCTATCAAGTTAAAGAGTTTAGGTTTAAGGCAAAAAATAAATAAATAAATAAATAAAAATGGAGCAGTTTTCATATAACCCTGATCTTAATCCAGTAATAAACCTAAAAAAAAATGATGTGTGACTGTAAGGTTGCTTAAACACTGCTATTCTACCTAGAGGAATGGGCCAAAATGTCAGCAAATTGTTGTTAGGTTTATGAAATGATACCTATAACATGTGACCCAGGTCGTGCAATTTACTAATAATACTAGTGATGGTGAGTAAAAGAATATTCTCACAGGAACAAAAAAAAAAACTAAACTAAGAAAAACATTTCTCTCTATTCTGGTTTTAGACAAATAGAAATTAATGTGTTACTTCAGTTTGGGTGTACTCTGTCATAGAGGAGAACAGTTTATCCATCCTTCTATTAAAAAAAACATTTAAATATCTGGTTTTATTTAGAATAATTGATGTCAATGTTAGTATTTTTTCCTAGGTCTTACTTGTATAAGAATGCACGCTCTTTAATTACAAATTATTTCCTCTGATACTTTGATGAACGATTGTTAAAGCAGATGTAACAAATTACAATAGTTGCTATAACTGACCAACATTTCTTTGGTGCTTCCAGGTGTTGACATTTTATTTTTGGATTAACACAATAATGTAAGGAGTCAGATAAGTACAGGATGTTTCCTTTAAAAAGAATTTTTTTTCATAGAATTTTCCAAACATAAACTCAAAACAGATAGAGCAGATGTAGTTTTAGTTGTTAGATCAGAGCTTGGTATCCTATTTTTTTGTCTTCTTGTCATGAGTCTAGTCCAAAACCATAAACAAAATAACCACTGGATATGAAGTGCTTTCAACTGCAGATAAAAACAGTGAGCCAAAGTAAATGGGAAATGCCAGATTCCTTTCACAGTTGGGTATTTTTGGGACCATCTGTGAAGAAATGCTCCCACAATCTAAAGTGAGAAGCAGACTGAAGAGTCTGTCATGGTGATTAAATGGGGGCTAAAATAAAACATCAGACATTTTCAACTAGATAAACAATGCTGTGCATCGTCTTGTTGCACCATCAAACCTAAAAGTACATTTTAATTTTTACACATTTGAGGCCATTCTGTTCTAGAACAAAATATTACATTGCTTTAGAGGGTGAAACTGCCGAAAATGCAAAACACTGCAGCTTTTCTGCACTTTGTTTCTACTTGCTGTTCAAGTTTAACTCTTACAGCTCAAATTAATGATGCACTTGTCTTTACTGCTATATTGTTTAATATGGTTCTTACATATCACTTTAAATGCATGCATACAGTAAATATATATTTGATTCAAAAGATTTAAGTTTTCCTATAAGAAAGTTTACTCCGGATTTCTTGTCATCACCGCCTTTTAGTGCGAGCATTCACATTGAGAAAAAAGACCAGCCGCTTACAGGTCAGAACAAATTAAGCTAAAAAAAAAAAATGTCCTGTACAAAGCAACATTTGATTCACTGTAGGGAAAAATGCTCAAGGATCAAATGCACTCCTGTGAGGACGGAGTGAGCCCTGGACCAGTGCCCTGAAGGTTTTAAATGCTTTAAGACAGCTGACTCAAATGGTTGAATCACTTCTTAGTGTGCCATCTCACTTAATGGATGCCTGCTAAAGAATTACCAATTTGACTGCAGCCATGGAGTACTAACATGGGCATGGTTGCTTTCACAGAGAGGTCTGCATGAGGATCTCTTTCCTGTGGGATATGTAATGTAAAATGATAATTTAAAACCACAACACCCAAAATAACGTGCTATTAAAATACTAGATAGTTCACTGATGTGTCAAAGCACCATGGACAGGAAACTGATCTCCTTCGTCTGTTTTGTGGTCCTTGCTCTATATCTTCTAATCAAATGTTGGGGACAGAATGTAAATCAATCATTAAATCAAGAGCTTTGTATTTCAGCTGAACTCACTTCTTACCACTCAAGAGATCAGGCCAGGGCACACATGACTGATGCCATCATCTACAATCATATAACAAGACCCTTTTCCTTGCCAGAGAGAGTTAATATCCCCTTTTGTCTGGGAACGCCCTGCAATGTCCACTAATAAGTGCACATTGCAAGGCAGTTACCAATATCACCTGAATTCATAAAAGCAGAAACCAATGAATGGATGAAGTATTGCCATGTTTACTGAGAAAAATACAAATAAAAACAGACATTACAAAGGCCTCTGATATCAGAATTTATTTGAGAAAACACTGATCTTATATGTGAACAAATAGGTTTGAGTTAAATGTATACAAGTTGTCATGCAGGTCATTTTGAGCTCCAGGAAGGCAACATCATTTGGTGCAGACTTTTATTTCCCCAAAATAAAGAATTAGAAATGACCAAAAAAACAAAACAACATCTCCAGCATCACAGTCAAATGTTTATATTAGTGTTTTAGTTTGGAGTATACTTTCCTTTAGATAAACAAATGTGTATACAACTAATTATATTCCCATTCACAAATTCGAATATGCTGGTAAACAATCTTAAAAACTTTGGAAAGTGAGCTGTTATTTGGATGATGTCGTGTGAAGCTGTCGATGAGAAAACATTTCTGATAAACTGTTTTTGCTTCATTTCCAAATCAAAGTCTGAATGAGCAGCCAGGACTTTAAACTGTGGCATCTTAAAGAATCTTTAGAATAAAAATACATCCTGCAAATTCTGCAAATGTAATGTTCTTAAATGGTAGAAAAGATGCATTAGGCAGAAATATAATGATTTGAAATATTAAATATTCACTATGACTGTTTTATTTACTGAAGCATTAAATACAAATCTGCAGAAAAGGTTTATCAGAAATGTTTCCTTAATCATCTACTAGCCTAATTGTTTTTTTCAGATATTTAATTATGTTTAGTTGATTTCTGTGCCAATATAGGGGTAAATAATCTGGAACTCTGACTGCTGGATTATAACACTTAAATGTGATTTGTAGCTTGAACAGTAACTTTTCTATTTTCCTTTTGTTTTTGTCTGGAAAAAAAATGTTTTTAAGTCTTGGATTTAAACAAACTGACTTCTGAAGAGTCAGAGAACAGATCTGCTAAGCAGAATATATTTTTTCTGACTTTTCCCAACCTGCTTCAGTGGAAAACTTGGCCATAACTTGACTGAAAAATGTTGCAACGGCCCCAAATTCAGTCCATCTCTGGTCTGCATTTGTCCAATTCCCTGCCTTTTAAATATTTGCAATTGAAATCCAGGCCTCGTTCCAAGGTGCAGTGACTGGGGACATTAGATCAAAGCTCTCATAAGAAAACTGCATTAATCAGGAATTTTTCCAGGCCACCTTGAGCCTTGGGGACTCCTTTGAATCATTAACACCTTTCGCCCTTCTTCTGGAATGTTTCTCAGACGTTTCCTGTCTGAACTGGTTTTGATCCACATTTGCTGTGAAGAGAAATTCTCCACAAGGAATCTTGCCCTGCAAGGAAACAGGTCCGTATCAGAGAGGCAATAGATGGCCTTCCATCAGCAGCATGACGATAAGTACAACTGAAAAGTTGTGATAAGGAATCACGAGAACTGGAGTCTCTTTTGGCCCATCGAGGTTCATTTTGTCCTTTAGCATAGCAGGGCCCCTGTGAGTGTTTCATTGGGTTCCCTTGTGGGGAGTATTGCAGCCACGTTCCTCTGATACCTTGTTCATTTGCAGTCTCAGTAGTTGTATTTCTGTGCCTCTGTTACTGCAGACGTTGCTGTATTTGGGAGAAAAAGCGGTTTTGGTGGAATCTGTGGCTTGAGGGACACCGTTCTCCGCACGATCGCGGCCCTCTGAACATGCGGCCCTTCGCTGTAACTGTGCTGCCGCGTCAAGCAGGCGCTGGCAACTGCTGCCCGTTGGCTCTCGCCGTTGTTGCTGGTGTTTGTGTTGACTGCTGCAGATGAACCTGGGGGGCGGTTGTTGCTGCTGCTGTTGTTGTTGGTGTTCATCCTGGCCAGAAAGTGCGCGTGCGTCCCCCGTTGGTTGAAGCTGTGATGGCGGGGCACAGCGCCACCTGCTGCACCCATTTTAATGAGGGAGTGACGCTGGGACTGGTGACGTGACACGGGGACGGCGCTCCCTCCGGGCCGCTCCGGAATCACCTGCTGTTGGAGGGGAGTGGAGGACGAAGAAGAGAATGAAGAAGGGATGGAGGTGGAGGATGTGGGGTTGTTTGAAGAGGAGGATGAAGAAGAAGACGTGGCGGAGGAGGACGTAGAGTTCTGAGGGGCTGAATCCAAGCGTTTGGGTACACCATCCCTTGGCAGTGTGGAGGTGCTGCAATAGGAAGTGGGTTCTGTCTCCGGGATTTGCTGCTGGTGATGATGGTTGCTGCTGTTATTATTGTGATGGTTGCTGTGGTGATGGCTGTGGTTGTAGTGGTGTGTTCGTGTCTGGTTGTGTTGATTGTGATGATGATGGTGGTGGTGATGACTACTGTGATGTCCTGCTCCAGAAGAGGATGGTCCAGGGAACAGTGAGGAGGAGGAGGTGGATGTGAGGACCTTGATTCCACCTGTTCCCGACGCGCTGACCTCATGGATGTGTTTGAGCAGCTCATCCAGCGCAGAGACATCCACCACTGTCTGAGGTAGGGACTGCTGGGAGTGGTGGTGATGTGGAACTCCTCCCCCTCCTCCTGTGGCAGCACCTCGCTCATCATTTGGGATCTTCCTCTCCTCCAGGAGGTGCAGTGAAGTCGACGAGGCACCTGCTCCATGGGCTGCCCCATTGCTCAAACTGCCACCATTGTGATGAGGAAAGGGAAACATTTGCTGACTCAAAGAATTCCCAACGACAGCCATGAAGCCCTGACTGGATTTGGAGCTGCTAGGACCCGACTTTGGGATGCTATCTTTGCCATTGTTGCAGTTTTGGTTCTTCTCGTACTGCTGATGCCGCAGCCCTTTTAGGTTCCTGAATGGCATCTCTGGTGTGGAGTCAGGTGTTGGCAGGCCAGACAGTTCTCCGTCACCCTGAGAAAGAGACTAAATGGAGGTTAGACCCACAAATTTTTCTAAACTAAAGAAATACGAGTTTTAATTGTAAGAAACTTAACATTTAATAAATTCTAAATGTATTTTCAATATTATAAATATTTATTGTTTAGGTTTGAATAATAATCAACTTTCCCAATTAATGAACCCTTAGACCAAAGGTGTCAAAGTGGTCCCAGAAAGAGCCGTGTTGCTGCAGGTTTTCTTTCCAACCAGAAAATATCACATCAGACTCCATTCATATCATCAAGTCATCATGTTCAGATTGGACTTGATGAGATGACTGGAGTCTGGTGTGCTACTGCTTGGTTGGAAAGAAAACCTGCAGCCACATGGCCCTTTCTGGAACCACTTTGACACCCTCGCCTTAGACAATACGATATTTAAGTGGTTCATTTAGCGTAGCACTGTAGGATCAAAGAAAGTCTGGTTAGTGGTAGATTATTGGTAAATTCTGCTTGATACGTCATCTGTGATTCCAGTGCAGTCTAACCTTTAAAATATGTTTTCCCCTGTGTGAGCATATGTTAATATGAGACTCCATCCAACTAGCTTAAATAAACACTAGTTCATAACATTTGTGAGTATTGCACACTCTGATATTAAGATGAGGATTTATCTGCAATAAATTTTGCAGGTTGAATTTATCAAGACTTAAAAATATTCGAGAAAAAAGGCCTTATATGTATTTCAAACAGGGAGGGAAATGAAATGTCACGTACAAAATTATTCTGTGCTTAAAGGGAGGTGCTGAAATTCTGCAGTCAATTGAATGCAATCAGTTCTAAAGAGCCTTTATGAAAGACAAACCTCTTTAAATTAGATTTTTATTTTTAATTCAGGACCTGGCTAAAGGTTTATTTTTACTGAGGAGAGTTTTCTACACTTCTTCATAAAACTTTTTTGGAAATTGGAGGTAATCTAAGATTGATTAAAAAAAGGGAATTTGCCTTCAGTTAAATTATCTTTAAAAAATCTAGGATCAACACATTAACAGGAGTTATTAAGTTAAACTGGCCATGCACATCTGCACCTTAATTAAGCAACAATTTGTTAAAATAACAAACAAAACATTTTATTTTTTTAATTTAAAAGTTAAAAAAAAAAGCTACAAGACTTAAGATCATGACTTAGAACCAAAGTAGAAAAAGAAAAACAATAATTATGCAACCAAACAAATACTAAGAAACAAATGCAGGTACAAATCAAATCATTTCAATTTAAATAGGAGCAGCACATTTTCAACACACCTTATGTCACTAAAAATATTCATAAACTGCATAATTTATTCATTTGCAGGATCAGTGCAACCTTTGCTCTTTCTGCACATATAAGGTAAAATTTAATTCAAGCAGTTCTGATACGTTTTGTCAATCATTTTTGCCAACAGGAGGTAAAGTTTCCCCAATAACCTCATGTGTGTCATTGTGGTTGTGAGGAAAGTCTAACACTTGTATATAAGTATTAGCTGTTAAGTATGGTATTTAGTTAATAAAGGTTTGACTTGCACTGGTAGGGAAACTCCTCAGTGCATATAATCCAGATTAATAACAATAAAATATTAGTTAACTGTTAAAAAAAGAAGCCAAAATGTGGTATTAATTAAAATCTTTGGAATAAGGGTTGACTCTCTGACTATTCAATTAATTTAAAACTTATAAAGGAGAATAAGACTTCTAAATGTAATATCTGCTTTCATTTGTAGTGTGATGAGAATCCTTTTTAACTTCTCTAGTTCGTAACTTTTGCAAGTATAAACATTAAACTAATGCCAGGTCCTAAGATTTGTACCTGTGACAGGTTGAGGTCAGGGTCTCCCAGCTGCAGGCCCTGATGCCCAGGGGTGTGAAGGTGGGGCTCGGCCCGCCCATTAGGGATAAAGGAGCTGTACATTTTTGGTGTCGACACGTCCAGCTTGTCATCCTGGGGCAAGACAAAATAAGGGTGAACTTTTTAATGGTTCCACACACTCTAATGAGGGACTTGTTTAAATGTATATTTGAACAAAAAAGGTCAGAGTTTAGCAGCAGCTTAGAGACTCTGCTTCTAACTGAAGGACATTTAGAAATATGATGGAATAATAATGAAACAGTCAGCTGTAATGACTGAATATAACACCAAGGTGATTCCTATTATGTGTTTCCTCAGGGTAAGGAGGAGGAGGAAAAGGGAGGATATGAATATTAATGTTTCTTCTTAAAATTCAGGCAGTTATGTTGCCGCCTCTCAACTGTAGCCTGGTAGCTAAAAAATCTGATTGAAATGTGATGTAGCAGCAGCGATGAGCGGATTTACGTCCGTTAACTTTATGTTTTCATTTAATGTCATTTTCAAAGCATCTTCAACTCAATTTAGATTTACTGTTTGTGCATTTCTGGACCAAAATAACTCCCTACAGGTTCCTTTTAAGGAATATTGCTGTATTTATATGCAATAAGATCAAACTGGTACATATGACAATATTAAGATGAACATGATCACCTTACTCTTCCTCAAAATTCAAACTTACATTTCTGTAAAGATTTATTTATTTTTTTTATACCCAATTTAGTAAAATGCTTAATCCTTCGAGGTTTTCATTATCCACCCAAAACATTATATTTTCAAATAGTGAGAATTCACTATGAGTTATGTTAATATCTTTTGCCACAAAGTTGCTTAGCACCAACCTTGGGTTGCCCATCCAGCAGCCCGTTCAGCTTGGCGAGCGAACGCAGGGACAGAGCGTGCGGCAGCGAAGCTTCGGGGTCCTTCCCAAGCCTTTGAGCTCGGTGTGTTGCGCTGCGGCTGCAGTAACATGACACCAAGAAACCCGACAGGATGGCTCCCAGAAAGAATGCGACGAAAACGCAGGCAATCAGCAGGGTGTAGTGGACGTTGGCGTTAGCACGCTGATCCAGCTCAGGTGGACGACGAACACCTTAAAGATGATTAGAGACAGAGGAATGAAATGGGACATTAGCCTTTGAAATGATTCTCTAATGCAATATTTCTCTCAAATTGAGCATTTGGAAAATATCATTTTAAACATATAAATGTTTAGGAACTTCATAGAACTGCAGTTTTTAGCCTCCCTATGATCATGTGAATTGTAAATAATGACAATGTTCACTCATTCACCCACTCAATATATTGCATTTTGCTTTAAAGACACATTCCTACCTACTGTAGTTTAAGGACCGGTTGCATTATTTTTACACATTTAGCAGACGCTTTTATTAAAAATGACTTACAAAGTAGACACAACGTTATGGTTATAATCAAAATGACAATAAGATCTATAGAGGAAAATCCCTAGTCAGAATCAGTGGTGACAGCAAATATAGAGGGAAGTACAGAAAGAGTTTTAGAAGGGTGCAGAGCTATGGGTAAGATTTAGGATAGGAGATGCTCTTCGAAGAGGTGGGTCTTTAGGAGTTTCCTGAAGATAGACAGGTACACTGCTGTTCTCATAGCGCTTGGTAGGTCCTTCCACCATCTTGGAACAACAAATGGAAACAGTCTGGATTGTCTTAAGCGTGGTGTAAACACTGCTAGATGACAATCCATTGCTGACCGGAGTGACCGAGTTGTGACATAAGCCTTTTCTAGAGGGTTCAAGTAGACATGAGCTATACCCTGTGTACCCTTTGTCCATCAGGTACTTGAATTTGATGCAGGCATCCAGTGAGGCTGGAGGAGTGATGGGAGACTTTATAGGCTGATTGATGACCAGACACGCCACCGTTGTCTGGATCATTTGTACTGGTTTTATCGTACAGGCTGGGAGATCAGTCAGTATTGCGTTACAATAGTCAAGGCTGGACAAAACAATAGACTAGACCGGGAACTGGGTAGCATGTTGGTTTAGGTATGGCCGGATCTTTCTTATGTTTAGTAGTGTGAAGTGACAAATTGTAGAGAAATGTAGGTAACATCAGCAAGTTTCTTACTTCCTTTGATAGAGTCAGAGACAGGGATCCAGTCTTGGAATATTGTGGTATATGGCTAGTTTGGCTGAGAAAACCAGAGGTTCAGTTTTTGGGAGGCCAAAAAAATCAGTGCTTTGTTAATGAAGCAATTTCTAGATTATTTAGCTTTTTAAACATGATGCATCGTGCTGCTGGAAGCAGCCATTTGTAGTCTTAAAAAAAATTACTGATGTGTTTACATGGACTGTTGACCCCACACAACAGTCCCATAACAACTAAATGATCTGTTGGCATCAAACTCAAGAATGCCCAAAGATGTTTTTGTTCATCCTCCACTGATCACTTGTTCTGTTGACTAAAAAGTCAACCTGTTCCGATTGAATTGCTGGCCGTGATACTGTGACTGATCACACGCACTTTGTTTAATAGTCCTTTGTGGGTGCTCGTGTTGGTGTGTGTTTGTGTGTTAGAGTTAAATTAAATGCAAAACTTGATTCCCAGCCAGCGGGCAAAGGCTTATTTGGATGGATGAGCAAATATTATGCTGATGTTAAGTTGACAGGAGAGTTTAAGAGGAGGAGAAGAAAAAACAGATGGAGGAGAGGTAAACCAAGGTGAATGGGTGGAAGAAAGAAAAGAGCGAAATACAGAGACGGGGATTAGACTTAATGAGAAAGAGGTGCTTCACAGGTGAGAAATCTGGATGGCAGAAGAGAGAAAAGACTAGAGGACACAAAGGTGGGATCTGAAGGAGGGAGAGGAGGAGAAGAAAGGAAGATAAGTGATGAGATGATTGGAGAGAGGCAGGCAGCCGGGCTGACAAAAGGATGAAGGGACGAGAACAGAAGGAGGGGGGTTGGTGTAGATGAGTAGAGATGAAAGAGAAAGTTTATTGTTTGGCAGCGTTCACCTCATCAGGTTCAGATACGCCATCAAAGAATCTCTGATACAATGACTCATCAGTCTGTCCAGCAGTGATGCACAGTAGAACAAACCACACAGCTCAGGATAGGTGACAGGACATCAGTTCTGCAGCAATCAATACTTGGATTACATATTGTTGGGAATTTTAAAAAAAGAGAGAAAAAAACAGTAAATGATAGTATATGACTGACAAGAGTAGAAGCACGGCACTGCCCAGCCTTTGGCCAAGACACCTGTAACGTGTCCAAAAAAGTTTGTGGAGCACTAGGAGCTACACTCTAACAAATAGAGTGATCAATCACAGCGGATAATTACAGTACCTATGGGTCGGCACTGTTGTCTCGTTTTTCAAGCTACCAGATGGGGAAGACATAAACTTCAGAACCAGGAAAAATGGATTTAATACACTAATGTTTGGCAGAGTAAAGAGAAATATTTATCAATGCCATTTCTAAAAAAAAAAATTGTTTTTCTTATATTATGCAGTAAAAGTATACATTGCTTTAAATATGTAATGCATTTATCTTAGTATTTTTTTTTTATACCTGTAACGTTCTACAGCTTCTAACTGGATCCAATAATACAAGGGCGTATTGAACACAGCTGTAACAACCATTAATCTATTTTTAATTTTACATCTAAACCAAGCCATGCCTTAAATCCTATTTTATTTATTTATGATCTCTTTTGAGTAGATGAAGCTTTCAATTTTAATATTAATCACCATGCCATAGAAAGCTAACTTTAAAACATATCTAATGGTTGTTTATTGCTGAATAAACCAGCTTCATCCAAACCTCTGGGTCCCGCTATTTTGCATCTGCCACGTTTAATCATTTGCTTGAGAACTTGCTCACTTCTGAATCATGTTGCTTTTCCTTTACATGATTAGCCACTCTAACTGATGATAGCCATGCCTTTCTACTCATCTTTGCTTGTCATAACCTTTGTTTTTGAAAGCGTGACTGATTACAAACTTACATTATCCTGCTTCACATTCCCAGCAGCAATCTCACAGCCGACAGCCATCCAGGCCAGAAATTGATAGGCTGATTTATCTTCCTGACACTAAGAAAGCAATTGGCATCAGATGTTGCCATGTGTATATTTTTGTGATCCGTTTATTTAGATGTCTGAAAATCAAATTCATTCTTTCTATAAAGTAAAAAACAATAACTTATAAATAATGAGGTACTTAATATAAAAAAACAAATTGAAAGCAGCAAATCCAACTTTAATTGAACCTAAATTTTATATTGAAAAGCACCAGGGTCATATAGTTGAAACAAATCAATTTTGAATGGCTTACTGAACTAATAATCTGGATAGTTAGTGCAAAGTGCAAACTTCTTCAGAAATTAGAGGAGAGCAAAGACAGGTTTAAGAGGTGGATTGCATGTCCAAACTCCACTACTGCCATCTAGTTTTATTACAAGCATGGAAAACCGTTCACATATTAAACAGGTAGTGCTCTTATGCAGGTAAGTGAACTTTCTTCCATTTTTTCCCCAAATCCTAAAAAAAAAAAAAATTACAGCAGAAATCTGATTTCCTTATTGTGTTTCTATAATTTCATCAATGCAACAAAACCTAATACATATAAACTGCGCGGTGAAGCGGCAAGCAGTGAACTCCTTGTGGTGAGAGTGTTCATTACTCCTCATTACTCGTCCCTCACCTCGTGCTACTATGGAATTTATACTTAAAGGACCAAATATCGTACAGCAGAGTAGATGGGACATTTGTTCCAGGATAAAGACTTAATCATGAATGCTTGTTATATATTTAAGCCCACGTAGTCCTTTTTCATAGTGGCAATACACTTAGAGCCTGTGTTGCCGTACGCCGCTGCAGACAGATTATTTTTTTTTTCTGGGTCCAATCAGGCTCTTTGAACAGTTTGAGTTGCTGACCCTTGGCCAAGATGGTCTGTCACCATATAGGATTAGCTGGGGACGTCAGGAGGTCCCACTGCCAACTGTATTGGCACTAGAAAGCATCCTGCATTCTAGTACTAGCTCCTTCCTAACTGCAAGCACTATTCAGATAGCCCTTATTATGATGACCACATCATTAGTTTCCTTAATGATTTGAAGTATTTAGCCAAGCCGTTGCAAAAATTTTGCATTTTTCCCCTGCCATTCCTACCATATATGGCAATTTCCTTGTGTTTTGGATGTTACAATCTATTAGCTAAACTGTTTTTAGTTTCTTTTAAACCTCTTAGTGAAAAGGGGAAACCTGGCAGTAGCAGGCATTGGACAGCTGGTAAAAATTAGTGTGGCCATTTTTCTAAGAGGTTGATTTTTTACAGTGAAAAGAAACATATTTAGTGGAGTTAAAGTTCCAGCTAAATCCCCGTTAGAGATAAATAGCCCAAACTGAGTTCATGTCCCTGAAACCCTGATCAAAGAGACCAAAAATACTCCAGAAACAAAAAAGCTAATTCCATGCCCTTCACTTTTTGCCATTAGGGGATTTTATTCCCTGCTCCCCGATGGTGCGGGACTCAAAGTGGCAACCATCTGAAACCTCAAAGCCGGAGTGGCCTCTAAGCTTCTGAGGCTTTGCTTTGATACAAGAAGCCATGGAAAACATGAGTCTTTTATGCAAAAGTACTCTTGAAATAGAGCAAGCAGTCATTACACATCGGGGCAGGAATTAACACACAAACACCGACTGCACACGCACGATCACACATTCCCTGTGTTTAAAAGAGACAATTTCATGTTCGTTATTTGCACTCTGTCATCTCTGTCCTTCAATCTGACAGTTAAAAATAGGATGATGGAAACACACAGAGAAATATTATGCTAATTAGAGCCCAACATGGAAATGATTCATTCTTTACCCTCTCTTTTTTTCTGTTCCCTCTGTCAGTTTGAAAGTTTCTCCTTCTTTGCAGTCAGTCTAAAATGCTAAAGTTTCTGGCATCTGGGGTGAAAACTTCCGAGTGATATTCTGACTTTTTCTCTTTTTCCGTCACTTTTCTATGTCAGTCTAGGATTTACAGTATTCTGTAAGTCTTTCCCTTCAGTACTTTCTCAACCTACATCCTCTTCATCTTTTATCTTTCTTCCTCACA